ATATGGGAAGCCTCCTTTTCTAAAGGGAGTGCTGCCTAAATTTATTGCTAATTCAGGGAGTTAGTCAAAAGTTTGGCTTGTCAAAGTTTGACTTGTCCTTTCATTATATATGGCTTAGTAAAAATCTGGAAAACCTGCTTTTTTAAAGGGAGTGCTACCCAAATTTTTGCTAATTCGGGGAGTTAGTCAAATTTTTGACTTCTCAAAAGTTCAACTTGTCAAGATTTCATATATGGCATAGTAAAATTTTGGGAATCCTCTTTTTCTAAAGSGAGTGCTGCCCAAAATTTTGCTAATTCAGGGAGTTGATAAAATTTGGACTTTGGAGAGTCAAGGGTTATTTCTGATTTCATATCTAGGCTTATATAAATTCTGAGAGGGCACTTTTCCTACGGGAAGCGCTGCCGAAATTTCCCTGTTTCCAGAGGAGTTAGATTATTTTCGACAGGTGGCGCTAGAGAGTGTTGTATGGAGGTGTGCTATGGAGGTTTATCCCCCATATGCTGATGATTTTAGTCTGGGCATTGGACCTATACTGTGTTACAGGTCCTTTGGGTTGTCTGATTCAAGGTCAGGACTAGATTCAACTTGATCTCTTGAGGATCATTATCTGTTATCACTGATAACAGGTCGGTTGTCGATTCGTCGGTTTACTACTCAATTCCAACTCACATTCCTCACTCGACCTGAAAGGCTTTAGCCCTGGTGATTGTATTGTTTCATTAAGGTTTCACCCGGACTTTTATTGAATGACCATTTAACAAAGGTACTGAGTATTTAATTAAGGTGTGGTTGGACAAGAGGTTGGGGCTTGCATGGCTAAAGCGAGGGGTATGAGTGTTGAAGATGGTTGGGGTTGACTCCGTGTAGTGCGTGGGCTGTTGATTGACTCGTTGATGTCATTCGCAGGTATGTGCTATGAATCAGATTCTGGATGTGGTTTCCTGCGATCACATATATACGTATGGCTGTGAGGGCCCCAATGAGACTGTGAGAAGTGATCGTCACATACTTTTCTCTGTTATATATGCATATATATGAGTATACTTGAAATGAATACTTGCATTGGCTAAAGGGCCCACAAACTAAAAGCCTGCTCAGGGGTTAAGACAAAAAAAGGCCTAGGGAAAACCCTTACTTTTATTTTGTTTTACTTCTTAAGGATTTTTCTTAGTCGGACGTTGGTCCTGGGCCGGGATTCGAGGTCCTTGTCCAAGACATCCCAAGCCCTAGGCTCTGCAGGGAAGGGTTTTTCCCTCCCGCAAAGCCTATTTGCCTTGCCTACCGAGACGCTCAGACCAAAGGCTGGAGGTCTCGTGGCGGCTGCACGACTATTCCTTCAACCATGCAATGTCGTAAAGGATCAGACCCTCGCGACACTTTGAGCCTGACACTTGAGTGTCATAAGCGGTGCTCGGATCCATGAGGGACCGCTTGATTATGGACACTACATAGTACGTCATCGTTGCGACTTCATGCGTACGCCTGCATCGCGGGTTGGTATGAGATAGACCCTCGGCTGCGCGACTTTATATTAAAATCCCGTGCGCGACGTTTTACCGCCCTAGTGTGTAAAAAGTTATGGGATTACAAAGGGACCGACGCATATGGGCGAATGTTTGAGATTGCTATAAGGCGCCAACGCCGCGCGAAAAAGGGAGGGTACCCCAGGGCTATGATTTTGTTTACTAGGCAGGGAACCTTCGGCCTATTCCTTATCTTTTGCTCTTTGGATTTTTTATAGTTGGACGTTATAGTTCGTGGCAGCCATCAAAGTCAAACCCCTTGATGTTCGACCGCCACGACAGCTTAAAGTTGTCTACTCAACCCCTCTGCACAGGGTGCAGAAGAGGGTGTGGTCTTCAACCACGCACGGCGGTTGTCCAGCGTCGAGAGATTAACCCTCAAGGCGCGTGTCAGCCGACACTTGAGTGTCGAACGTGACCCTCGCGATTAACGGGGACCGTGTGAGTATGGGTACCTTATAGTACGCCTTCATTGCGACTGATTGCACACGTTTGCATTGCAAATCGATATGCGATAACCCTGCGTCCGCGCGGTTTTATATTAAGTCTCATGCGCAACGTCTATCCGAACTCCGCATTGGAAAGTAATGGGACGGCTACCGAGGGGCTAGGAGCGTTGTCGCGTTGTCTATGTTGTGTTGTTTTGTACGTGTGTGTGTGAGTTTTATTTTTGTGTTCGTAAAGTGGTGTGCGCGTGGTGTGTAGGATGCGTCCTAGTCGACCGACGACGAGCCGCGCTTGGGACTTCAGCCCCCCATGATGCCGGTTCGCGTGCGGGTCCGATAGAGGCGCATTACCGCACGTACCCCCTATGCTACAACGAACGAGAAACGCCCTCGGCTGGTCCACCTCTGCGATTGCAACTGATTAGCTTTCGTACTGTGGACTGGTAGCTCGACGGGGATACGCCCACCGAAGGGAGGTGACAACTCCCGTAAGGTGTAGGTAAGTCGTGCCTCGTGTAGGCCCTATCCTGTCGTAGGGGCTCGCGAGAGGTATGGCTGGCGCACTCGGTCGGAGCAGCTTAAGGAAGCTCCACATGTATGATTTGCGACGAAGGATTTAAAACAACTCCTGCGTGACGCGGCCGAGAGGGTCCCGCGCTGCCCTGGGGCGGTGCCGGACCGATGCGCACGACAGGTGGCGCCGTTGTCGAGGATAACGGAAAACCTACCGTTGTCTCTGGTGGAACGACATCCGGGTATGAGAAGTGAATAGGAAAAAGGCATAAAGGAAAGACGAGAAGGTAAGAAAAAGTAATGAGTGACTAAGTATAGGTGAGAAAGTTTACCTACCTGAGTTAGGGGAAGTATGAAGGACGATCGTGTTAGCATTGGGTAAAGTATGCAGTAAGGGTTAGGCAGAGCGGAAGGAATAGACCGGTCAAGGTGAAATGCTTAATAAAGGAGTGTGCTTGTTTTTCTCTTATCCGGGAGCTTGAGGAGAAGAGTCTGTCAAGATGTAGCAGGGCGGCGACGCATCAGGTGATCCCAAAAAAGGCCTGACGCTCGATGACCTTATCGCGGCTATTGACAGGCATGAAAGAAATCCGAGCAACATCCCCAAGGTCGATACCTTCCATTTTTGTGGGAAGAAAGTCTTAGAATGGTTGGGGCGGGTGGAACAAGCTCTGGTCGGGCGGTCCGATGTCGTAAAATTTCAGCGCATTCTTCAGTACGTTCACAACTACCATCAAGAGGTGAAAAAAGTTATAGACGCAGCCCAAGGT